TTTCTTCCTTTTTTTAAGGGTCAAGAAGGGTTTATATCATTAATTATTTATTTCTATAATAGAAGTAATACCGCCTCCTGGTGAAAAATTTCCGCAGGGAAAGAAGCGTAGGGAGTGACAGCTCAAGGCCCCTCTGAGGCCTCCTCTGAAGCCGGGCTGCTCTGGGACCAGATAACCTGGCTTCAAATCCCAGTCCTCCCTAGCTGCGTGGTCTGGAGCAAGCTACCTTGTGAGCCTCAGTGTTCTCATCGGTGAAATGGGAAAATAAGTGGTCACCTCAAATGGTGTTGTGGGAATTAGATGAGTTAATACTTATAGAGTGGCACAGAGAACGTGCTTAGTAGATATTAAGCAGGAATATTACTAAGTGTCGTCTCTCCTTTTAGACTGGTGGTTCTTAACCTTGACTGCATACTGAAATCAGGTGGGAAGCTTTAAATTTTTCTGATGCCTGGATCCCTTCCTCAGCCATTCTGATTTTATTGATCTGGGATACGGCCTGAGCATCAGAGTTTTCAAACACCCTCAGATCCTCACAGTGGGCAGCCACAGTTGAGAACTGTTAGGCTCCATAGTTTCCATGTGTATCACTGGGATAAATGAGGTTATGCTGCCATAACAAACATCCCCCAAATCTCATCTATTTCTTATTTATGGTACATGTCCATTGTGATCTGTTGCAGCTCTGACCCTCATCATCTTTACTCTGGAAGCCAACCTGACCAAGTAGCTTTTATCTGAAACATTTAGTCCTGTGAAGTGGGAAGAGAGAGCACGGTGAACCACGCACTAGCTCTTAAAGCTTCCAGCCAGAAGTGAAACTTAACTTCTGCTCACACTTCATTGGCCAAAGCAAGTCACATGGTCACACCTGAGTTCGACAGGGAGCATCTGTATCAGGGGCTGGGAGACTTTTTCTGCACAGGGCCAGGTAGTAAATATTTTAGGATCTGCAAGAATCTGTCACAACTACTCACCTCTGCCTTCAAAGCACAAAAGCAACCATAGACAATACACTGTCCAAAAATGTGAAAATCACTTGTAGCTCATGAGCCATTTGAAAACAGGCAGCCGGCCAGATCTGGCCCACGGGCCGTAGTTTGCCATCCCCTGGTGTGTATCATTCTCTTACAGGGAGAAGCTCTTCATGAACAGACCCTAAATATGGGTGAAAAGTAATGCAGTCTACACACTGTGTGTACAGAGGAGCGAGAAGTAGACAGAGACAGAGCAGAGGCAGAGGACATTGTATTTTACACACTAGACTGGGGTACAACTTGCTTTTGTCCCTTAATAGTGTGTTTCTGGATGATCCTTTCATGTCAGCAGTTCTGGCATGACTCCCATTTTTTCAGTGGCTGCCTAGTTTGCCCTGCTAGGGATGTACTGAAGTGGGTTTTGTTTGTGTGTTTGGTTTTATAACTAATCCTCTCTTGCTAGATAACAGTGGGTTTTTTTTTAAATATCCGAAGGAGTAAGGTGGTACCGTAGAGCGATCATGGTACAGCGAGAGCCAGCATCCCAGCTCTCTCAGTAGTCTGTACATAGTTTATGTTGCTTTCTCTGAACTCTCTCAGGCCTCCCTGGAAACACACATTTTCCAGGAGTTTCTCCTTTATTACCTCCACTTCTGGTTCTTGCCACACTGAAGACGGTTGCCATTCCAGGGGCATATTTGCTGGGGGAGATTTAAACACTAAAGAGGATAAACAGAAATGATGAAAAAGTAGAAATGAAATCTCAGAAGCTGTACAACGTTACCACCCCGACTCCACCCAGAGACTCATCTTGAGCCATACAGATGAGGGACGACTAAAACTGCCGTTCAGAGGTGGCATGAGGTGGAGGGGAGAAAGGAGGCTGAGATGACAGTGGTGCCACTTGTACGTGCTTTTCTCCTTGTGTCTCCAACAGGACACCACGACGTCCGTGCGCATCGGCCTCATGATGGAGGAAATGATCTTCAGCCTCGCAGACACACATCTGTTCTTCAATGACCTGGAGGTTTGGAATTGCTTGATTGCTTATTTCATTCCATAGTCGCTGTATTTAATCACCTGCTTCTGGTTTGGGAGCAGAGACACGGCCTTTTCTTTGTCCTTGTTTTCTTTGTCGGGTGAAGGCTAAAAACTTTTGCTCACAACCCCAAAGAAGGCACAAAACTGTGGTCAGCCACGGCTTATTAGAAACACACTTGACCGGATTCACTCCTGAGCTTCCCTGTGCGATTAATGGACTTTTCTCTCTGCTCTAGTGGTGACATCCACTGGCAGTTACACTAATCCAATAAAGGCTGTGTAGTTTCTTCCTCCTGAAATTTGCTATTTAATAAGTTTATTAAGGCAAATTAGTACTGATCCTCCTGGGTTAGTAATAATTAGCAGTGGGCCAGGATGGAAGCTTTTAAAAACAATTTACATTGCCCTGAAAACATGTTTTACAAAGAGAGAGAGAGCGTGAGCAATGGGATCACGCTGATTTAAAGTATCTGCTCTTGTCCCCGTAAGCAAGCAGCAAGGGAGATAGGAAAAAGAGAGCAGCTTCAGAAATAAATGTAATTCATTTGTTTATACCCAGCCCCCGTCAGAAAGATTTGGGAAGGATTTCAAATGAGAAACATATTTAAAATAGAGCTACTAAAACAAAGGCAAAGAATAGAAAGTCATGTAATGAATTAGGGTAAGGCATTGTACCAAAAAAATCTGGCTCATGCTAACTACATAAGTTAAGTTCAGTCTGTCTCTGAGCTTCCTGGTAGCCAAGGCAAGGAGGGAAATACAATGCACTACTTACCCTTAATGAAAGAGCAAGCAGCTTTCTGCAACATGAGGAAGGCTTTTTTGTTTTATAAGTAGATTAACGTGAGACTTCTGGCTTTTATATTCTCGTCATTGGTTTAACAGGTTGAAAAATAAATGCAACCTAAAATAATACTGTATGTGAAAGAACAATTCTGTTTACCCTATTTGGAATATTTTCCCTAGAATATGGAAAATCCCAGGGACTAAACTATGAAGTAGAAATAAGAAGGCTACAAATTCCAAATCTGTCCTGACCAGCCCAGAGCATGACTAATATTTATCATCAGGAAAGGATAGAGGTTTTCCTTTCTGGTCTGCAGTCCTAGAGTTCCAGAGTGGGGAATTCCTTGCTGAAATGCTCAATCTCGTGTTCTATCCAGTCTAGGCCAGCCATTAGGGCCTTAGTCCTCCTATCTATGAAATGGAACTGATGCTCTCTGCCCAACATCTTTTTCAAATAAAGGATCAAGGTAAAGGCTTGATGAGGAAGAATTACTTTGGAGTAATAGAAAATGCCACTAGCATCAAGGCCCGGAACTGTCTTTTTAGCCAAAAGCAATGTGCAAGCTCTCTTTACAAAGACTCCTCGTGTCTTGGGGGGAAAAAAAGAGAGAGAACTGAAGGTGAAATTTTTTAATTGAAAAAAAATGGCAGTTGAATCCAGCAAGTATTTATGGAACCTAATGTAGTTAAGACTCAGCTGATTGCAAACAGCAAACCCCAACTCCCTTCAGCCAAAAAAAAAAGGAAATAACTGGCCCTTGTAGCTGAAAGTTCAAGATAGATTTAGTTTTTTCCTGTCTCCTCCTTAGAATGTCAGTTCTCTGAGAGCATGTCTATCTGATTCACCCTAAATGCCCAGGCTTAGGCAGTAAACAACCAAACAAATCTATAAACAAGAAAGTTCATGACAGCGAAAAGGATGTGAAGACAATAAAGCAATCAGATGTGATAGTGAGCGGTGGGGGAGGGGGATGGGATGGGGGAGCAGCATCCTCCAGGGGGTCAGAAAAGGCATCTTGATGAGGTGGCACTTGAGCCAAGGCCTGAATGATGATAGGAGCCGGCCAGGTGGAGATCAGGGGAGGTGGGAATACCAAGTGCGAAGGCCCTGAGGTGAGAACTAGTGTGATGTAATCTAGGATCTGCGAGAAGCCACGAGACTATAGTGAATGCGTGAAAGCAAGGGGGCAGCTGGGACAGATGAGTCTGGAGAGGGAGGCACGGGCCAGACACAAGCCAGAGACATCAGGGTTTATTCTGAGTGCCGTGGACAACCACGGGGCCAGGGCATGGTAAACAGGAAGAGCCCCATGACCTGGTTTATGTTTTAAAACGACTACTCTGGCTGCTGCATGGAGAATGGGCAGTAGGAGGGGAACTCCAGAGACCAGGAAGGAGATCATTGCAGTCATGCAAGCAAAAGAAGAAAACTGGGTTGGATCGAGATGGTAAGAAGATGCGGGCTTCGGGATGGCGCCAAAGCTGAGAGCACTTGCTGACAGGTTAGACGTGGGGGGTGAGGCAGAGAGGGGGTCGAGGGGGACTCCTAGGCTGGGCCTGACTCAGGCGACAGTGCCATTCTCTGCGATGAGCAGCCTAGGGAAGATCGGAGAATCCATCCTTTTGTCATGAGCACCTGGGACACACCAGCAAAGATACCAAACCACAGGCAGATAACACGAGTTTGAAGCTCTTATGCAGGAAAACCGGCAGACCCATAGTAGGAGCTTTGTCCATCTTAGTTGAACCTCAGGCTCAGAGCCAGGTAATTTTGGGGGACCAGTGTGTGTTCAGGCACATGTCTTCAGAATCTCACCCCCTCTGCTGTTCCTCGCTGGCCCCAAAGTCAAAGTCGCACCTCTTGGAAAAGGATCTTAATTACCAGCTGGAGCTACTCAGGGAAGCCAGTTTGTTTTTATTCTCTACATTTTTTTCCAAAATGTCCCCAATGCCAGAAGCCCCGAGGGCACCTCAGCAGAATTGAAACCATGTTACATGATGGAGAAGTTAAGAACACAAGTGAAAACATATTGCTTGCTGGTGCGGGGAGCCTTTGTCAGAATCTGAAGCGCGGCCTCGTGCAGCTCCCCAGGGAGGCTGTCCAGGGCTGGGGAGAGGTACAGGATGCAGGAGTCCAGTGCAAGGCCCAGCGCCTGCACGGGTAGTCAGATGATGGGGTTTAGGGAACAAAGTCAGATCCCTTTCTGCTCCAAGACTGCAGTGGCATCCGTAAATAAGGGGTCAGTTCCCACAAGCAATGGAGATTTATAGAGAATTTAGCTTTTGCCAGACCTTACTCTAAATGCTGCGGATTCAGTGGCAAACAAAACACAGCAAGCTCCCCACCCTGGAGGCATTGGCCTGCCAGCTGGGGAAGCAGACCATAAACAACTAAATATAAAATGTCAGATAAAGTGCTCCAAAGAGAGACCAGCAGAGTCGGAGGAAACGGTCCCAAGGGCTCTTTTACTTGGTACAATCAGGTAAAGCTTCTCTGACATTTGAGCAGAGACCTAAAGGAAGTGAGGGAGAGGAACATGTGGGTATCTGGGCAGAGTGTGCCAGATGGAGAAAACAGCAGTGCAAAGGCCCTGGGGCATGGTCAAAGTTGGTACATTCCAGAAACAGGGAGGAGGCCAGTGTGGCTGGAGCGGAAGAAGCAAAAAGGGTTGTGGAGGGCAGTGTGGGGGAGGGGGAGACAGACACCATGTGGGGCCTTTGGGCCATCTTAAGGCTTCAGATGATAATCTCAGGGTGACAAGAAGCCGTGGAGGGTTTTCAATAGGGGAGCAGAGTGACCTGACTTACGATTCAAAGGCTCCCTTTGGCTGCCGGGTGGAAAACAGACCAAAGAGGGCAGTGGAAGTAGTTATTTGCGTTAGATCAATGGTTCCCAGACTAAAGGTGAAAGCACTGACGGAGAAGATTCCATGAGGTGGAAGGACTGGTCAGAGAAAAGGAGGTGCCAAGTTAAGCTGTATACCAGGACATTTGGGATGTGTGTCCTGAGTATAGGGCAAGCGTGTGCTTATCAGTTCAATCTGCCTTTGACTCCTGGCTCCACCATCCCCTGGCTGTGTAACCTAGAAAAGTCACTCCATCTCCTTGAACCTCAGTTTTCTCATCTGTTAAATGGGTAGAAGAAAAGCCCCCAAGTTCTAAGGTTGTAATGATGATGGGAGATACAAGGAAGCAGTCAGCACAGAGCCGAGCACACTGCACATGCCCCAGAAATGGGCTTCCCACCAGAGGGCTATCTGTGCCACTGGGGCCATGCAAAAGGGGTTATATGGTACAGGGGCAAATTGTTTCATTTAAATTGTTAGATGTTTATTGTACTAGGAGCTAGAAAATATTAACTAGCTTGACCACTCACTGATTTGACCATAATTCAATAACAATACATGTAATACAGAGAGATGTTAAAGATTTAAGACGGTGGCCAACAACCCAGACCTAAATCACAGCCGGCTACTGGAGTTTGGGCCTAAATATCAACAATTACCTGGCCAACTTGCCTTTGTGCGAGAGCTGCCTCTTTTGCAGTAAAATCCAGGGCAGAAGACCCTAAACTGAAATGTCAGCTGGGTTGTGGGGTGAGCGTGGAGGTTTGATTGAAGCTCACTCACCTGCCGCTCGGGAGCTGTCAAAAGCATCCTCGGGCTCTGTGAACTGCGCATGCACTGGGAGCCCTTTTGCGGGACGCCTTCCCAACGGCCGCTTACTAGAGGCGTGGATGTGCCACCACCAGAGCTGGTGCAGGACCTGGCCCTCCGTCCCAGCTGAGCAGAGGTGCCCGGGGGCACAGACCTCTTGGGTTTGATTTCCAGGCTCAGTGTGCAGCCCGGGAGGCGATGCCTTTCATCCTCTCTGCCCCTGTGGGAAGAGGTGAGTAGGGAAAGCAGGGCCGATTCAGGTGAGAGACAGCACTGTCCTGGCTTTCCCGTCTTCCCTGTTTCTCAGAGAGCAGGCGCTCTCAGTGTCTGCAACCTCAGAATGTCCAAGTGGGGAAGGGCGAGTTTGGAAATGGAAGGGAGGTGGTGGCTGTCACATGAAGGGGAAGAACTGTTGGCTTTTAGCAGGTGGGGCCGGGGATGCCACATAACCCGCTACTTTGGACAGCCTTGTACCCAAAACGCCTGGGGCACCCCATTGAGAACCAAACACCGCGCCAAGGCCTTGAGAACTATCAGTCAGCTGCTGCACAGTATTTAGGGATCATCTGGTGTCCAGCACAACCAGGGCTTTGATGCGGCTTGCTTCCACTTGAAAAAAAAATTTTTTGTCATTAAACTTACGGGGTTTTTTGTTTGTTTGTTTGTTTTTTTACTAGTGTTTTGGGGAAAAAGTGATTTCATAGGTGATAACTGCTTGGGATGAAGCTAAGGTTTTAAACGTTTGAAAAGGAGAGCTGATTGAAAGGGGTATGATAAGGGTGCATCACAAATAGGAAGGCTCTTGCTGGAGGGACCCAGAAGTGGCTGGAATCTGGGCAGATCGTGGCTGCTTGCCTGACATGCGGGCCTGGCTGCTAAACGTCTGATTTACGGTGCTGCAGGTGAATATCGTTTGGGAAATTGTTTCAGTGATGTCAACTATGTTTCAGTAATTTAAATCTCCGTGATAGAAAATGTATCTTATGGAAGGTCACAGTCAAACCCACGTGAAAGCCAATACTCTAGAGCAATGCTGTCCTATAGAATTTTCTACAGTGATGTGAATGTTCGACTCCTCACCGTCCAGTACAGTAGCCACAGGCCACAAGTGATAAGTGTGCACTTGAAATACGGCCAGTGCAGCTGAGGCACTGAGTTTTTAATTAAATTTAATTTTAAATAATTTTAAAGTAAATAGCCACATGTGGGTGGTGACTACTGTATTAGACTGAACAGAATATTTAGCTCATTGTGGAAAGTTCTGTGAGACAGGGCAGCGCTAGAACCCTAAATTTGTAAGACATGACCTACACTTTCAGTTACGATGGTGATGACAATAATTAGAGTAATTATAGCTGGTGTTTACTGAGTACTTACTAGGTACCAGGCACTGCTCTGAGCAGTTTACATGTGTTAAGTTGTTTAATCCTCCCCGTTTTCGCCCCATTGTCTCAGTCTGCTCAGGCTCCCATCACAAAACACCACAGACTGGACGGCTTACACAGTAGAAATTAGTTTTCTTACTGTTTTGGAGGTGAGGAGTCCCAGATTAAGGTGCTGGCAAATGTGGTTCCTGGTGAGAGCTCTCTTCCTGGCTCATTATGTTTCCATAGGCCCTTTCCCCAGTGTGGGTACCAGGAGGAGGGGAGAGAGAGAGAGAAAGGGAGAGAAAGCATGTGTGCTAGCTAGATCTGCTGTCTCTTCTAAGGATGCTAAGCTATCAGATCAGGGCCTCGCCCTTATGACCTCACTTACCCTCAGTTCCTTCCTTAGAGGCCCCCTCTCCAAATACAGCCACACTGAGGGTTAGTGCTTCAGTATATGGACTTGGGGAAGACACACTCAGTCCATAACACCCATTTTACCAGTGAAGGAGCTGAGGCAGAGAAGTTAGGCAAACAGCTTGAAGTCATACCATCAGCAGTGACAGTCTGCAGACCCAGGTGGCCTGTCTCCAGAGCCTTCATGCTCGTCCGCCACGTGGGGCTGCCTCACCCAGGAGAACGACTGCCATCCAACTGAGAAGGAAGATCCCAGCAGCAAATCTAGACGGTGCTGCAGGCCGTGGGTTCAAAGGGAAAAGGAGAGCAGGGAGGGTTGGAGCAGCCAGGAAGCCTACAGGAGGATGAGCAAGTTCTGACAGCAAGAGGAGGAGAAATTCCCTGCCTAACGAAGAAGACAGAGGTGAAAAAGACTTAGTGTAGCATCTTCACACTGTATATGCAAAACAAAAGTCACACACAAATAACAGCAACGAACCACACTGAACCACTGCAGCCCCCTCCCTCCGCATCCTGGAGGGGAGCAAAGCAATAGACAAAGGATCTGAGTGCATTTCTAGAAAGAAGGACAGGGACCGCAGTTGGAGCTGGGGAGAGCGGGGGTTGGGGGGGACAGATGGGAATAGTAAACCCAATCGCAGTGACAGCTGACATGTCCTGAATGCTCACTGTGTGCCCAGGCAGTGCCTGAGGCCTCGTTTAACCTTTACAGCAGCCACAGAAGGCAAATACTGCTTCGTATACCCATTTTAGAGATGGGGAAACTGAGGCACCAAGAGGTTAACTTGCCCAACACTGACACGTACTGAGTTCTTACCCTGTGCCAGGCATCATACATGCATTTTCTCCCTGGAATCTCACAACTACCCTGCAAGGGAGTTTGTTTTGTTTTGTTTCAAGTCTCTAGTTTACCAGTGAAGAGACTGAGGCCCAGGGAGGTCATTTTCTGAAGGTCACAGAGCTATTAAGGCTAGTGTAGAGACCTGATCCCAGGATAAGCAGACTTCTAGTCTGGGACATTCCTCTTTCACAGAAGATCCAGTATGGAGATTAACGGTGAATCAGAGAAGGAATACAGATCTGCAGAGGGCATGCAAGAAGAGACTCCTTCATAAGGAACCAGATCAACGTAAAGGTTTTGGCAGAAGATATCCCTGGCCTGATTCAGGCATGGCCAGGCAGGCGGGTGGGCCAAAGTGGGAGTGCTTCAAGATGCTGCCAGAGCTTTGGGAGGGCTCTTGCTGGAGGGACTCAGAAGTGGCTGGAATCTGGGCAGGTCGTGGCTGCTTGCCTGACATGCGGGCCTGATTGCGAAACGTCTGATTTACGGTGCTGCAGGAGCTATCAGGGAGAATAATATTTCACCATGTCAGCACTGAGCTGCTCTCCAAGACGTCCTGCCCAACTGGCCATTAATGCAGTGCAGGCCACAGCCTCTTTAGCGCTCTTCAGATAAGTTAAACATTTAGACAATGCGAGAAAGATGGCCCAGGTTCCCTTCCCAGGGAGCAGGCCCCTCTCTGGCTAGGCTAGAGGCAGCATTAAGCAATCTCACTTTTAAAATATACTGGCCTCGAAGGAAAAGGAGTGGGCAGGGAGTCCATCTGGGCTCTGGAGAGAGTCATTTTTCTAAAGCAAATTTGTCAACAATTTTCTTTTCTGCATTCATGTCTCCAGTCAGCCAAGGACAAAAAGTAATGGGATCAGACCACCGTAGGGCAGATTGGGAAAACCCCAGCTGTCACCAGCTTAATCAGAATGGATTCTGATAGGTATTTGTCACCAGGCTTACTGTTCAGAAATGAGCAAGGATGAGAATACTAAGTATCAAAACCTGTGGGATGCAGGCAAAGGCTGACCCAGACAGACAGGCATAGCCTTAAATTACATTTTTAGAAAGACAGGAAAATTATTAAGAACTGGTAATTGAAAAAACCAGTAGATAAGCCCTTGGCAAGCATGAACAAGAAAAAAAGAGAAAAAGAGATCAGTAAACAGCATCCAGAATGAAAGAGTGGACATGACTGGAGATTCAGAGGAGATTCTTTTTTAGTTATGAGAATAATGTGTGCACTGTTATACAACAAACTTGAAAACCTAGAAGAAATTGACACACTTCAGGAAAATATAAATTACCAAAATTAACCAAAGGGTAAATTTAAAAATAAATAGCCAATGACCATGAGGAACTGAAATGGTAGTTAAAGATGTGCTCCCTTCAAAAAGGCACCAGGTCCAGCTAGTTTTAAACAAGAGTTTCACAAAACATCCAAGGAAAGAATAAATCCCATCCTGCACAAACTACAGAGCAAAGAAAAAGGGGGATGTTCTCCCTTGGTGTTTTAGGAGACTGACATCACCCTGAAACTAAATCTGACTTGGAGCCTGTGACAAAAGGATAAATTGCTGTCATCACTGATTAAAAGGTGGGACACTCCCGCCAGAGGCCCTGTGACTATGGAAGTTCCACTTGGCCCTGTCTGAGCTTCGTTTTCCACACTGGTGAAAGGAAGCATCGGGACTGCCGTTGGTATCATTTATTAGGCCAGCCACATGCCTCATAACACACCTGCAAGTGGATGCATTAACCATATTTCAGAGTTTTTTAAAAATCCTGGAGACCTTGGTCTGTTGCTTAAGAAGCCCCAGCTCTGAGACTCCTGTAGCAAGTAGCACACCCAGCACCCCGATTTTGGTCTCTAAACACCATTTTCCAGTAAAATGAACCAGGGCTCTTTGGAGAAGTAACTGATTTGAGGGCTGGGACTGGGAAGACACATGATAAACATTAGGGTACCAAAAAGTAAAGAAGTGCTTAAAAAACCTCATGATGATGGGCTATGTCAAAGGGACATAGGAAATGATTAGAAGAGTTCCCAATGGCCAGAACTGGAATAGTTTGAGTATTAAAACAAATAACATCGCATCTAACCCAAAGTATAAAATAAGTACCCATGAGTCCCTACTGACACAGATAAATGACTGAGTAAATAAGTAAGTGGGGGAGAAAAGACAAGTCTACCACACAGAGAAATTCCAAATAATGTATGTAGATTCTCCACCCTGAACCGTGAGCTTTGTGGAGTGATTTCCTTCCAAAAAGTATAACATGGAAAGGTTGGGGGAGTGTAAATTTACAGTGGAGAAACCTAGGAACACCACCTGAGCCAGGTGCTCAAGGTCAACATCAACAATAGTAAGTCATGTTGATAGTGTGCACCCCTGATGTGATGTGGTGAGGATGGTACTTGCACTTCTGTGATCTTCCTCACCAGAACCCGTAACTCCAGTCTAACCATGAGAAAAACATCAGACAAATTCCAGTTGAGAGACACTCTGCAGTATACCTGACCAGTACTCTTTTAAACTGTCACCAAAACAAAGACACATCTGAGAAACTAATCACAACCCAGAGGAACCTGTCCCTTTAAGACAAGACAACGAAATGTAATGTGGTACCTCAGATGGGATCCTGGAACAGAAGAAGGACAGTAGAGGGAAAACTAAGGAAATCAGAATAAAAAAATTGGTATTAGTTAATAATATAGTGATATTTGTTTATTGGTTGTGACAAATATATCATATGAATATATTAACGAGGGAAACTGTGGGGTATATGAGAACACTCTACTATATTCACAGTTTTCCTGTAGATCTAAAACTACTCTAAAAGTTTATTTAAAAAAAAAAAAACTAAAGACTCACAGGTGTCTAGGAACTTGCCCAAGGTCACACACCTAGAAAACATCAGGGCTGACACTGGAGCCCAGGAATGGGCCTTTGAAGGCCACCTACAATGTCTAGGATGGGTGAAACGGAATGTCTCTACCCCAGTTGTCTTCTGCCCCCGTTCCTGAGATGCATTAATGCGTAGCATCCTGACATGTCCCTGGAGTCTGGACTGAGAAATGCAATGTTCTGCTTTGCCTCTAAATTGCTTCATCAGCAGAGCTGACCATCCATGAGCCTCTTTTGATGGTGAACTCAGTTCACCTTAACCATTACTATACCAAGCACAGAGTCTGGGCCTATAGAATTCAAAATAGTAATACAATAATCAAGGCAAACGTATACATGGCATTTTCTCTGGCCAAGTGACTGTTCAAAGTGCTTCACCTGTATTGATTTATTCAGTCCTTATAAAACCTTATGTGGTTAAGTACCATTCTATAGCTCAGTGACAGACAAGGAAGTTGAGAGTCAAACAGACTGAATACCTTGTCCAAGTTCATTCAGTTAGTAAGCAGCAGAGTCAGAGACTGACCCAGATCCCAGAGTCTGTGCTCTTAACTGCTATATTCTCTGACCTTGCAATAACAAGTAAAAATAAAAAAGAAGGGGGGCACTACCTTTAGGGTTTCCCAATTTAGTGGCTGAAAGAAGAAATTAGGCATTTTATATCAGGCCCAGGTTAATCCTAGAGGCCCCACAAAGTGGGGAGACAGACAGAAGTCATTTGTCCTGACGTGGGGTGGAATTGGGGCAGTTTTTACAAAGGCAGTGACATCAACGAACCTTTGCAGGTTTTTGACAGATGGAAAGAGAAGGGAAAAGCATTCAAGGCAGAAGGAACAGTAAATGCAAAAGCCCTGGGGCAAGAGTGTGAGGGTTGTTAAAGGAACAGCAGAGGCTGCCGTGTCTGCAGTGCAGTGGGACAGGGGTGGGAGGTGGGGGGACAGGGGGTTATGAGTGGGTGGGTATGCAGACAAGCAGGGCCCAAGTCACAGTGAGGACTTGCTTTTACTCGGAGGGAGGTGGGAGCCATCGTGGGTTCTGAGCAAGGGAGTGACCAGGTCTGACTTCGGGTTTGCTAGGATCCCTCTGGCTGCTGGATAGAGACTGGGATGAGAGGACGGGTGCAGACTAAGGTTCAAGCAGGCAGAGTGAGGAGGTGACTGTAATAGTCTGAGTTGGGGGTCAGCAAACTTCTGCAAAGAGCCAGAGAATATTTGAAGCTTTGCACGTCATACTGTCTCAGTCGCAACTATCCAGTTCTCCTGATGTAGGACAAAAGCAGCCATAGAGAGTGTATAAATAAATGAACACGGCTGTCTTCCAATAAAGCTTTATTGACACAGGCAGGCCAGATTTGGACCTCGGGTCTTAGTTTGGCGCCGCCTGGTGTAGGTGGGTGGTAGTGATGGCTTGGACCACAGTGGAGGATGCAGAAGAGCCTCTTTTTTTCCAGTGATGTGATAAGTACCTTGAGGACAAGAGCCAGTTTTCGTCTTGAAACCTCCCCTCTTGACCTGTGCATCGTGTGTTGTGGTTCTGGGACCGTTGGAGGTGTTTTCATAGTCTTGAGATGGATGGATGGATCTTTGAGAGGCAGATGGCCTGCTGGGCTCCTGCTCGCCCTCATTGTGCAGTCCTCGGCATGGTTCAAGTTTCCTGGGCCAGGTGGCTTCAACAGTGGAAACTTATGTCCTGTAGTTCTTGAGACCAGAAGTTCAAGATCAAGGTGTCAGCAGGACTGGTTCCTTCTGAGGGCTGTGAGGGAGAATCTGGTCCTCGCCTCTCTCCCCGAGCTTCTGGGGACCTCAGATGTTCCCTGGCTTACAGATGCATTGCCCCACCACTGTCCTCATGGTCACATGACGTTCTCCCTGTGTGCGTTTCGGTCTCTGTGTCCCAATTTCCCCTTTTTATAAAAAAGGACACCAGTCACATTTCAGCCCACCCTCATGAGCTCATCTTAACTTGACCATCTGTAAAGATCCAATTTTCCAAATACGGTCACATTCACAGGTACTGGGGTTAGGACCACAGCATCTTCTGAGGAGACACAATTCAACCCCTAACAGACCTATTCCCGCACTTCTCCCGCCTCATTTCCTCCGCAAGGTGGACGATGATAGGCAGCATCCCCATTATTGTATGTGAAGTGTGGGGCAGCCCCCAGCAGCCGGGAGCTCATGAGTGCTAGCTTCCGTCCTCCAGCGTTAGATCCTGTCTCTGGCTCT